ACTACTACTACTACTACTACGACGACTACTACTACTACTATTACTACTGCTACTACTACTACTACTACTATTACCACGACTACTACTACTACTACTACTACTACTACTACTACTATTGCTACTGCTAGTGCTACTGCTACGACTACTACGTCTCATACTACTACTAGTACTACGACGACGACTACGAGTGCTACTCTTATGACTACGACTTATACTGCGATTGAGATTACAACTGTTACTTCAACCAGTATTTTGTTACTACTGCGAGTAGTTGTTCTTCTTCTACTACTACTCCTACTGATTTGGGCCAGTCTCTGAATGATTAGGGCTCGATCGCTCAGGGGTGAGTAGGATAAGGGAAGCCAGACTAGGACGAGGAGGTCGCACGAGGTCGCGGAGGATGGGCGGGCGGGGGTGGAGATGACGACGACGACGACTACGACGACAACGACCCGAAATGGCATTTCCAGACCCCGCGGGCCCAGTTGCGTTCCCGATCGGCCTGGTGGCTCTGCGAGACGCGCCGCCCAGCGGTGGTATCCGAGATGTGCCGAGATCTGTCGGTCGCACCAGGCCTTTGTAATTCCAAGCCCCAGGCCGGCACCAGAAGAATAAGATTGCATTTAGTCTTGTTTCAGAACATATTAAGATTTTTTGGAAACTCGAAGGTAATCGATAGGGCTGAATAGCTCTCAGCGCCCCGTCATTTTTTTCTCCCCGCCTGTCAATCCCAGGCTCCGCGGGCCACAGCACGGGGTTCTGCAAGCCCTGCGCGTTCTACGCCACCAAGGGCTGCGGCAATGGGGCGCAGTGCAAATTCTGCCACCTCTGCGACGCCGGCGAGAAGAAGCGAAGACGCAAGGACACGTTGCTCTCGCCGCCTCGACCCCGACCGCGGCTGTTTGGCCGCGTCGTGAAGCGTCACGCCGGCAGTCGTTTCCGTGTTCTCTGCGATCCAGGAGCCAGTTTTCCATTCCCTTGGCCCGGGGGGCATCCGAGTCCCGAGTGGGTCCCCTCCCCCATCACACAGCGGGCGGAAGGCGTGAGGTTCCCACACCAAAAATCAACGGACGTCCTGGGGTCTGAGGGTTGGGTTTCTTGTGGAAGGTTTCTTGTGGACTGGCCTTCACTGTATGCGACGTTCGAGCGATGCCGGCGCCACGGCGCCACCGCCCAGCCCCGCGTAGGGCCGTCCCCGCGGGACGACATGCGCAGTCTCTCCCCAGTGGAGCAACACCTGTCGTACCATGAAGCGCCCACATCGGCCTCCTAGATCTTGGCATCGCTCGGACGTGTGCATTTTTTCTCGGCGAGATCCATCGAGGACCATCCTGGACCATCGAGCCAAAAAAGCACGCACGAAACCGACAAATGCACGGTAAATGGACGTCCGAGCGACGGCAAAAGATATGGTCGGAGTAGATCGGGCCAGAGGATACCGCATCGCGGATGCATCGGCGATGCGGCTCGATGTGGTGCCCAATTTTCTCCACCGACATCGGCGATGCATCGCCGATGTATCGGTGATGCGGCGAGATCCTCCGACCCCATCTACTCGGACCCCATCTAGGAGGCCTCTACATAGGGAGATAGAGTTTCTGGAGCCAACTCCTATGGATCAGGAGGGCGAAAAAATCACACAGACACAATGAATGGTCGATTCCCCGAAAATATGTGAAAATATGGGAAGTGGGGGGAGCACAAAAAACTCAGAAAAGATAGGAAAATATGGGGAACCCTGTTATTTATGTGTGTGTATTCATTTGTGTGTCCCAGGGCCCCATTCACACATGGCCTTCAGGTGTGCCTGCCTGGCGCGCTGCTCCACATGGGGAGAGTCGCTCCCCAGTGGACCGCCCACATGGGGAGATCGGGCGTCTGTGTTTCTCGCCCCCCCCCAGTGGAGCAGCGTCCACATCGCGGCGCGCATCCATCGCGGCGCACGCACAACATTCCTTGACCAGGCCATTTCCCCCCGGTGCCTCGAGGAAAAGCACACGCACACACACACACACACACACACACACAAAAAAAAAAAAAAAAAAAAACGCGCAGCCGCACAGGAACATCGATCTCCAGAAAAATGTGGGAGAAGTATGGGAAGTGGAGGGGGAGACGACAGTCCAGAAAGTACGTCGAAATATGGGGGGTCCTGGGATCTGTACCTATTTATTCGTATGTCCCTGGGCCCCTTCAGTGTCCCCCAGGTGCCTCCTCCTTCCCCCCCCCTCTCCCGAGGGTGGGCCGCCGCCTCCGGGAGTTGCCTCCAAGGGCCCCCCCAGAAGTCAAGCAGTGGCGAGGCGTCCTGGCGTGCCTACTCGCCTCGCCGGTCGTTGAAAGTAGGAACTTTTGGGCTCCCAGATCCTAAGATATTTCAAGCACTTTCCCACGTCAACTAGCAACATGCTGATGTTGTGTTTGGTTTTTCTTTTGGACAGGCCCGAACCCAATCTGCGTTATCCGCCACCCTGTTTCATGTGTCCACCTACTTCTTCCGACTGGCGGGTACGGGCCCACCAAAGGATGTTCCAAGGATTCCTTGTAGTTTGCACGCAGCGATATTGGAACATTTCTGACCGAGGCAGTCTTGCTGCATTTCTTGTCGAGCAGCTGCATGGTCTAAGAACGTGTCGTGGTAGGCCTACAGGAATGCCAGGACGATCGGCCCCTGCTCAAGCGGGGCGGCCGCTTGAGACCGCGGCCGGAGGAGAAGCTCCAGTTCCGCAGGGAGATGCGGCAGTGGCGGAGGCGTGCGCGGGCCTCCAATCTCCCAGCTCTGCTCCCAACCTGGAGGAGGCCAAGCTGAGACAACGGTAGTTATATCAGGAGGGGAAAAACCACACAGACACAATTAATCGCCCACTCCCAGGAAAATATTGGAAAATATGGGAAGTGGGGGGGAAGACAGAAACCCAGAAATTTTGGGAAAATATGGGGAATCCTTTTATGTGTGTTCTATTTATTTGTGTGTCCCAGGGCCCCTTCACATTATAGTTGGCCTTTTTTGGGGGGGAGGGGGGCCTTCGTCGCCATGGCTGGACGCAGCTGGGAACCTTGGTGCGTTTGGACCCTGGGGGGGGGTCCGATTCCCGATGTTGAGCCGCCGCTGTCTCACCTCGCCCTGCTCAGATCCACTCTTCCCCCATCCTCGTCCTCCTCACCCATCCATCCATGAGGAGGAGGAGGAGGCGGAGGAGGAGGAGGAGGAGGAGGAGGAGGAATAGGAGGAATAGGAGGAGGAGGAAGAGGAGGAGGAGGAGGAGGAGGAGCAGCAGCAGGACGAGGAGGAGGAAGAGGAGGAGGAGGAGGAGGCCCCCCCACCCTCCCAAATCCCTCCTCACTTTTCGTCTTCCTCCTCTCCTCCTCCCTCCTCTCTCCTCTCCTGCCTCTTCTCTTCCTCTGTAGCCGTTCGGGTTCCACCGCTATTCTCGCGCAACCCTGCGGCTCACTCGCGGCCCTCGGTGCCGCATGCTCCATGCTCTAGGAACGTCATCATGTCACACCGGTCACTGCCATGCGTCTCGAGGCTCGGGCGGCTGGCAACGGGGGGGTCACGAAGAAAAAGGCCCCTCGAGGGGCCTTCAGGGGCCCCTTTTGGAACCAGCAGGGGCCTGAAGGGGGTCCTGAAGGGCTCCTTTAGGGCCGCCCGCCCGAGAGGCCACGCGGTGTGCCCCACGCACTGCGCGGCGCACCGAGCTCTGTGGGAGGCGGCGCGGCGCACCTTGCAGCCCTGCTTCGGAGGCGGCGGGCGCTGCCGCTGCGGGCGGCGTTCGCGGGGCAGGCCACGACCTGGACGACCGCTCGGCGACGTTTACTCGCTCGAACCCCACGGTCCTTTTGTGCCGAGCTGGTCCAGCCAACTCGCGTCACCCCGCTGCGGTCGCGGCGCTGGGCCTGTGCTGAAAGGCCCCGCGCGCACCGCGCCCGCCACCCTTGCCGGGGACGGATCTGCCACGAGCGGCCGCCTGATAACTCCTCTGGTTCGGCGACTACAGCTGGTGTGGTTACGCCACGGTGTGGTTTGCGATCGGCGCCGTTGGGGCCTGAGTGGCACGACATTGTCCTCGTCGAGCCTCTCGGGGCGTGGCGGGGAACTCACTCTATCGAGGTCCCCGCCCGCCCCCCCCAGGCCCCCAGGGTGCCCCCCCAGGATGTCGGTTGCAAACCACACCCTTTGCAAACCACACCTTTCGGAGTCGCCGAGTCGCTCCCTTGACAGGTTCGAGTACGGCCTCAGAGGCGCTGGACTCGAGCTCGGGCTCGGGCTCAGGGTCGCCCAGGGGCAGTGCGCAAAGCCTTGGCCAGGGCGGATCCCGAGCCGGCGCGGTGGCTGGGCGGCCCACCCCGACACGGGGCTGCTGGACGAGTTGGTCGCGGCTTGAGGCACCATGTTCGGGGGAACAGGGAGCTGGTTCGCAGGCAGGCTGGCGGCGCGGACAGAGGCAGCGAGGAGTCCACGGCCTCCCAGCCCCGTGGGGAAGGCGACTGCGTGAGCGCGCCCATCGAGAAGCTGGCGGCGAAAGCTCCTCCTCCTCCTCCTCCTCCTCCTCCTCCTCCTCCTCCTCCTCCTCCTCCTCGTCGTCCTCCTCCTCCTCCTCCTCGACGGACGACGGAAGCAGGCTGCAAAGCCCGAGCGCGGGCCTGCCAGACCCCAGGGCACAGTGCCGGAGGAGAGGTCGTTGGCCGAAGGGAAGTTGCGAAGGGGGCTCGGCAAAAGGTCACGCGACCCGCGCAGGAGGAGGCGGCCAGTCACCTGGCGCAGTCAAGCCGATTCCTAACGGTAAGTACAGTCGGGGCGCTGAAGAAGGAGCCCTTCTCCTTGGGGAGGGGCTCCGTGTTCCTTCATTGTTGTACAGCTTGCCTGAGGTTTTCCTGAGGTTCGGGAAAGCAAAGTTTGACTTATGGAAAAAAGGGGCCCCGTTCCTTATTTAGGGTTCCTTAGGTCAACGCCCCGACTGTAGGTGAGGTGGGTACAGTGGCTTGGGCCAGCCCTTCCGCTCTTTCCAGCCCTGGCCAGTTCCAAGCTTTACCAGCCCCTGCGACCGCATCTCAATTACTTTAGACTCCTTTCGGCCCCTGCCAGGTTGTGTCCAGCCCTGGCCACTTCCACTTTCGCGGACTTCTCAACTTCCATTCGTTCCACCCCTGTGCGTTTCCAAAGGTACAGTCGGGGCGATGAAGAAGGAACCCTTCTCGTTGGGGAGGGGCTCCGTGTTACTTAATTGTTTCACAGTTTGCTTTAGACTTTCCGTAGGTTTCGATGGGAAGTCGAAGCATATTTTATGGAAAAACTTGAAAACACCTTGTTCCCTATTTAGGGTTCCTTAGGTCAACGCCCCGACTGTACTTGCCCTGGCATTCTCGCCTCTCGGCCCCTGCGAATCCCTAATTAGCCCTGGGCCGTGGGCTTCTGGCTTCGGCCTCTCAATGTTGGCGTCCAGGGGCCTTGCATGCTACATCCTCACCGCGCCTCCTTCTGTCTGCCACAGTCTCCAGTAGCGCAGCCGCACATGTCCGCCACCGCGCTTGTGGAAGCGACGCAGCGAGGCAGCAGCGGGGCAAGGCAGGCAAGGCAGTTGTGGGCCAGGGTCTCCCAGATTGTCCTGGAGGGTTCCACGTCGGCCCCCCGAGGGCGCCAAGATGGCCCCGGAGAGCTCCCGCGAGCTCTCGAGACTTGCCCGGAAAGTCCAAGAGGGCTCAAGAATCTTGCACGGGATTCCCAGCAGGCTCCGAACAGTTTGTTTTAAGCCCGCAAGAGGCCCCCGAAGAACCACAGAGAGCCCCCAGAGCCTTCGACGGCCGACAGGCTCCACCATACGCCTGAGGCAGCAGACTAGGTCGACTGACCCAGCGTGGCAGGCGATCATCATGGACTGGCTTTGGCAGGGTCTCCGAACTAACGTCGAACTAAGCGTTCAGAACTGAGCGTTGTGGAGGCATCTTGGAGGCAGTTTCTTTTGGGGGCGCTCTTGCAGGACCCCCCAGACGGCTGAAGGCGTATGATCATGGAAAAAACAATGTGTGCTGTCAAACTTACGTTCAGAACTGAGCGTTTGGGAAGCATTTGTGAGGCAGTTCTTGGGCCTCTTCGGAGCGTCTTGGAGGCATCTTGGAGACCTCTCGGGGGCGTCCTGGAAGGAGTTTTTGGGCTTCTCGGGGGCCTGCTGGAGGCCTCTTGGGGGCTTTGGGGGGCATTCTGGGGCATTCTGGTAGCCTCTTGAGGGCCTCTGGGGGCTTCCGGGAGCGCCCCCCTCTGGGCCTTCTCTGTGGTTGGTCACGACGGCCTTCTTGGGCCGTCTTGGGCGCCTCTTGCACCGTCTTGAGCCTTCTCGGGCAGTCTTGGAGCGCTCTTCGGGGCCTCTTGGGCCGTCTCGGGGCGATCTTGGGTGCCTCTTGGGCCCTCTTGGACGCTGTGAAAGCTCAAGAGGCGAATGTGCTAAAAATGAACGCTTTCCGAAGGGAATGGGGCGAGTTTGCCCTCTTGGGGCCCTCTTGGGAGGCCTCTTGGGGGGCTCTTGGGGCGTCTTGGAGGCTTCTAGAGCCGCCTCGGGGCCATCGTGGGCGTCTTCGCGCGATCTTTCGGCGACTCGGAGCCCTCCTGGAGCGTCTTGCGGGCCTCTTTGGGCCCTCTTGGCGAGTCTTGGGGTCTTCTGTGGCCATGGGGACGAGAGGGTTGGGGGGGAGGGCAAGCGCTGGGGACAGGGGATGATCCATTGAATCTCCTTCGCCACATTTCGTAGTTGGGCACATCGTCTGCCTGTGCGGCCAAATACGCAGGGACCTGGTGACAGTTATGAGCGCCTCTTGTGCTCGATGCGTCGGGGGCCCTAACCAATGCTTCGCAAGAAGCGGAAAGGCCCAACACACGCGTACCGCTGCAAGCTCGGTGGGGGATATGTATCTAGTCTTATGTGTGTATGTATGTATGCACGTACGTATGTAGTTATGCGCGTATGTCATTATGTGTATATATGTATATGAGTTTGTGTGTATGTATGGATGTGTGTATGTATGTGTGTGTGTGCATGTATGTATGTATGTGTGTATGGATTGATGTATGTATGTACGGATGTATGGGTGTATGGTTGTATGTATGCATGCATGCATGCATGCATGCATGCATGTATGTATGTATGTATGTATGTATGAATGTATGTGTGCATGTACGCATGCATGTACGAATGTATGCCTGTATTGATGTATGCATATGTGTATGAGTGTATGCAGTGTTGTATGTATTTAGGTATGTAATGACGTGCGTCTGTATGCATGTATACATATAACGGCGCACCGGGTCCGGGGGCCCGGGGCGGGGACCTCGACCGCAAATGTGCACCCCGGGGGGCCCGGAGGCTCGTCGGGGCTTGCCGGAGGCCTCCCCAGTCAGACAAGACGGCCCAAGAAGCGCCCAAGACGGCCCAAGAAACTTCCAAGAGGCCTCCAAGAGGGCTCCGAGATGCTGAAGATGGCCTCCAGACGTCCAAGGACGCCCCCAAGAGGCCCCAAGAAGCCTCCAACATGCGTCCCAAGAGGGCCCCTAGACGCAAAAATTGGCCCATTCCCTTCGTAAAACGTACATTTTCAACAAAGTTGTCTTTTGGGCTTTCCGACGTTACAGGACGGCCCAAGAGGCGCCCAAGACCGCCCCAAGACGGCCCAAGAAGCTTCCCAGAGGGCCCCAGGACAGCCCAAGAGGGCCCCAAGACGGCCCAAGAGGCGCCCAAGATGGCCCAAGAGGGCCCCAAGACGGGCCCAAGAGGGGGCCCAGAGGGGGACCACGAACCGCAAGCTCGAGCCTTCCGCCCCAAGAGGCCGCCAGGAGGCCCCCAGGAGGCCCCTCAAGAGGCCCCAGGAGACCCCAGACGTCCAAGGACGCCCCCAAGAGGCTCCAAGAAGCCTCCAACATGCGTCCCAAGAGGGCCCCTAGACGCAAGAATTGGCCCATTCCCTTCGTAAAACGTACATTTTTAACAAAGTCGCCTTTTGGGCTTTCCGACGTTACAGGACGGCCCAAGAGGCGCCCAAGACCGCCCCAAGACCGCCCAAGAAGTTTCCCAGAGGGCCCCAGGACAGCCCAAGAGGGCCCCAAGACGGCCCAAGAGGCGCCCAAGATGGCCCAAGAGGGCCCCAAGACGGGCCCAAGAGGGGGCCCAGAGGGGGACCACGAACCGCAAGCTCGAGCCTTCCGCCCCAAGAGGCCGCCAGGAGGCCCCCAGGAGGCCCCTCAAGAGGCCCCAGGAGACCCCAGACGTCCAAGGACGCCCCCAAGAGGCCCCAAGAAGCCTCCAACATGCGTCCCAAGAGGGCCCCTAGACGCAAAAATTGGCCCATTCCCTTCGTAAAACGTACATTTTCAACAAAGTTGTCTTTTGGGCTTTCCGACGTTACAGGACGGCCCAAGAGGCGCCCAAGACCGCCCCAAGACGGCCCAAGAAGCTTCCAAGAGGGCCCCAGGACAGCCCAAGAGGGCCCCAAGACGGCCCAAGAGGCGCCCAAGATGGCCCAAGAGGGCCCCAAGACAGGCCCAAGAGGGCGCCCCGAGGGAACCCCACGTGGGCCCAAGGAGGCCCAAGAGGGACCCAAGAGAGCCCCAAGAGAGCCCCAACATCGGTCACGCGGAAGAGCTCTCGCGTGACCGATGTTGGGCCCCTCTGTGGGCTCCTCTTGGAGCTCCGAGAGGAGCCAAAGATGGCCCCACGAGGGCCCCGACGAGACCCCAAGAGGACCCAAGCAGGCCCAAGAGGGACCCAAGAGAGCCCCAGCATAGGTCACGCGGAAGAGCCCTCGCGTGACCGATGTTGAGCCCCTCTTTGGGCTCCTCTTGGAGCTCCAAGAGGGGCCCAAGATGGCCCCACGAGGGCCCCGAGGGAGCCCCACGTGGGCCCAAGGAGGCCCAAGGAACCCCAAGATGGCCCCAACATCGGTCACGCGGAAGAGCTCTCGCGTGACCGATGTTGGGCCCCCTCTTTGGGCTCCTCTTGGTGCTCCGAGAGGAGCCCAAGATGGCCCCACGAGGGCCCCGTCGAGACCCCAAGAGGGCCCAAGGAGGCCCAATAGGGCCCCAAGAGGGCCCCAACATCGGTCACGCGAAAGAGCTCTCGCGTGACCGATGTTGGGCCCCTCTGTGGGCTCCTCTTGGAGCTCCGAGAGGAGCCCAAGGTGGCCCCACGAGGGCCCCGACGAGCCCCAAGAGAGCCCACGAGGGCCCCCAAGAGCGCCCCAACATCTCCTCTCCTTCCTCCTCCTCCCTCCTCTGCATCTTCCTCCTCCTTCTCCTCCTCCTCCTCCTCCTCCTCCTCCTTCTCCTCTCCAGGGGAATGAAAACCAAAGGATAGCTCACGGAGAGCCCAATCACCCTCTTGTTGCATCCATCTTGGCTTCCAGATGGAGCCCAAGAAGGCCCCAAGGAGGCCCCTCAAGAGGCCCCAGGAGACCCCAGGCGTCCAAGGACGCCCCCAAGACGCTTCGCGTCACCAATTTCTTCTCGCAACGATTCCTGGGTCTGTGACTCGACAGAACCTAAGCGCGCGCGAAGCGCGCGCGTGGTTCTAGTATATATGTATGCATGCATGTATGCATGTATGTGTGTATGTGTGTAGGTTTATGTATACATACGTATGTGAATCCACACGCACACATACACACGCGTGGACTGTTCTTGAGCCTCAGGGGAGGGTGGCGGTCTGTAAATCACCATTGGGGGTGCCAGCGACTTTTTACACCGCCGCCCATCCTGGAGGCGGAGGAAAAACTCGTCGGCGGGTGTTTGTGTACAGAATTTCGTGGCATATGATGCTCCCGTCGCGGTGTGGCGGCCGAGCGTGCTTGCGCACAGCACCGATTCCCTTGCTGGGCCCGATCGCGTGTCGGTGGCCACGCGCGGAGAGGCGCGGGGACGCCGAGCAGGCGCTGCACGCAGTAGAGGCCGATCGATTGGAGCGTTAGGGCGCAGCCCGTTCGCGCACCACGTGCTCGTGACTCACAGCGCCTGGAGGAGCAAAACGGCGGGGGTCGAGTGGGGGGTCGCCAGGCCGAGGCACAGCACATCTTGGGCGTGGTTGGCCAGGCTGGCTGAGTTTGCTGGCGCGGGGGGCTGAACTTTCAGCGTCCTGGTTCGATGCGAGGGTCGCGTTGGCCTGACTCACGCACTGTCAGTGGCGCGTCTTGGCAGTGCCCAGTAGGCTTGCTGGGCCCAGGATCCTCAGGGCTGCCATGTCCATGCGAGCCTTCGCCCTGACGACCAGCCAGCACACCTGCAAACCGTCCGGGAATTACGTAGGCCATTGAGCGGAGGGTTCCAAAGGGGGTTGGAGTGATGGCAACCCACGATTTCGCGGGCATCGTGATCACCGCTACCGGTGCCCATTGACACTCCGAATGCACGCAACTAGTTAGACAATACGATGGCCCTGCAGATTATGATTGTGACAAGCGTTCGTTGAAGTGGTTGACTCCTGCTGTACCACTTGCACCAGCTTGAGGAGGACAGGGGTAAGTGCTTCGCGTTCATTGAAGGCGAGGTGCCCTCATGCGCGGTCAAGGCCAGGAAAGGCAAGTTTCAATTTCTGGTAATGGCAAGGTTCGCTCTTCAAGTAAGCAACTTTCGAAGCCCGCACGGTTTTGCATAATGCTTTTGTTCTTGTGATCGGCATTGACGTTCAATTGTATAATTTGTTATTGGGTTCAGTCGGATGTGTTTTGTCCAGGATTCCAGAAATTCTGCCCACCATTCTTCATAAGGCTTCTGGAATTCCTAGATCGTCGTTCGACTTGCAGCAGTTGACCCGTTCTCTGGGAACGGCTCGCCGTTGTTGGGGATCATCGGAAGTCGAATGCCCATACAGCGCCAGCGTGGCAGGCAGCGACCCCAGACAACGACCCCAATCGGCGTCAATGGCGCAGACATCGCCCCCGACCGGCCACCTTGCAACGCCCGCGCGTCGGAGCCGGCTGGGCGTCGTAGATGACCCATCATTGGTCCTGGTCAGCAGAGAGCGAGGGAGAAGGGGCCCCCCTCGTCGCTTGGCTGGATTCGGCTCGAAAACTTGTCAGTTTCGATCCCGGGAGAGGTGTGGCGACTGGTTTTGAGCGAATTTGCTCTCACTCCCCCTCCTCAACATAAATTATTTGGGATTCTCCAGCTCAGACCTCCTGGCCGCCTCCAACATTAGAGAGCTTTCGCGAGGGCTTTCGCGAGCGCTGTAAGTAGCAGCATCGCGGGCGGCCCAATTCGCGACGTGCTGCTTGCGCACAGCGGGCGGTGCAAGTTGCCAGAGCAACGGCGCGGGGCACAGCGGCAACGACGCAACGCCACCTCCACCTTCCGAGCCTGCGCGATCTCCCAGGGCAACCCACGATGAAAAGGAGGAGGAATATGTGAGGATCCTGGACCTTCGTTGCCAGTTGTTGCTCATGGTAGCGACGACCCAGCATGGGCGCACGAAGCCCATGGGACTATCATTTTGGGAAGTAGCATACCTTTTTGAGAGCCCTCCAGACCGGAGGCATCTGCGACTCCTTGTGGTTGGAGGCCGATTCCAACGAGGTAGCACCGATCTCGTGCGACCTTCGTTCGGAGATTGGCAAAGGGCCACAGGTCCCTCTCCCAGTGCTTCTTGGCCTGAGCCGTCGCTGTACTTTTGCAACCAGTGCGGCAGGAACGCCACTATTGATGCGTGGTACCGCTCTCATTGCAGCATCACGCCGAAACAGATACGCAGCTTGCGCAGAATTGGGAAAAGGATTTGGCCCCTCTCCTCATACCTCCTCCTGCTACACTCGCTGGGTTTCATATGGTACTCCAGATTTCGTAATAAAAGGGAGGGGGTCTGGACCCTCCAAGACAAGCCATTTCAGACTCCCCCCGTGAAGAACCCTCCAAAACATCGTCCCCAGACCCCCCCAGGCCCTCCAAGATAGCTTGGAAAAGACCCCCCCCGAAGTGAGACCCCCCTCCCTTTATTACGAAATCTGGAGTATCTTCGTGTCAGGCTAGCAAGGTATAGAAGGTTGTTGCAAGCCCTCAGAGGAGGAGGAGGGGGGGAAGGAGCAGGAAGGGAAAGGGGCGATGAGAAAGGGGATAAGGGGACTTGGGGGAGGAAGGACGACGAGGAAGAGGAGGGGAATGAGGAAGGCTGAGTCGGAGTCCTAACTTCATTGGCACAGAACGAAACAGCCACGATGCTTATAACGTCAAAGAAGGAGGAAGGTGGAAGATGGGGAGAATGCGGAGAAAAGGGGGAGGAGAAGGAGGAGGAGGAGGAGGAGCGATGATGGCGCTTTGGACCAGTGGCGATTTCGACGGCCCCCTGCCCAGGCTTGCTGGCCCGCCTGCCTGGGAGAGGGGACGGCCAAGTCCCAGCAGTAGCGCGTGGCCCGCCAAGCACCGGGGCGCACGCGCGCTACCCACGCCGCCGCGTGAGTAGCCTGACGGTGACGGTCGAATGAGGAGAAGGAGGTGCAGGAGGAGGAGGAGGAGGAGGAGGAGGAGGAAGAGGAGGAGGAGGAGGAGGAGGAAGAGGAGGAGGAGGAGGAGGAGGAGGAGGAGGAGGGGAGGAGGAGGAGAGGAGGAGGAGGGGAGGAGGGGAGGAGGAGGAGGAGAGGAGGAGAGCAGGAGGAGCAGGTGGAGGAGCAGGCAGAGGAGGAGGAGGAGGAGGAGGAGGAGGAGGAGGAGGAGGAGGCGAGGGAGAGGAGGAGGAGCAGGAGGAGGAGGAGCAGAAGGAGGACGAGGAGGACGAGGAGGACGAGAGGACGGAGAGAGGAGGAGGAGGAGGAGGAGGAGAGGACGAGGAGGGGAGGAGGAGGAGGAGGAGGAGAGGAGGAGGAGGAGGAGGAGAGGAGGTGAGGAGGAGGAGCAGGAGGAGGAGGAGAGGAGGAGGAGGAGGAGCAGGAGGAGGAGGCGAGAGGAGGGAGGAGGAGGAGGAGGAGGATGAGAGGAGGAGGAGGAGGAGCATGAGGAGGAGGAAGAGGAGGAGGAGGAGGAGGACCAGGAGGATAGAGGAGGAGGAGCAGGAGGAGGAGGACGACGAGGACGAAGACGAGGACGAGGACGAGGACGAGGAGGAGTAGGAGGAGGACGAGGGAGGAGGAGGAGGAGGAGGAGAAGGAGGAGGAGAGGGGAGGAGGAGAGGAGGAGGAGAGGAGGAGGAGGAGAGGAGGAGGAGGAGGAGGAGGAGGAGGAGGAGGGTGGAGGAGGAGGAGGAGGATGGGAGTGGAGGAGGAGGAGGAGGAGGAGGAGGAGGAGGAAAAGGAAGATTCTCTGAAGTGGGTGGTCTTGGCTCTGGATGCCTTCTCAGCACGACTGAGGACCTTTGGCCAACGCCCCTTGCAATGCGCTTAAGGTATCCACATCCCGTAGATGTTGGCTTCTCGCACAGGTCACCGTGATTCCCGAATACCGAAACCATCCAAGGCTGCCGCACTGTAACTCGGGCTTCCACCTGCGATTCAGCATCACAGGGCCTCTCACTCCTGGGTGGGCGAAAGCCCACGAGCGGCACTCGCCTGCAACGCCGGATCAGCTTTCTCAGGGTCCAACCAGGGCCACAGAGCAGACGGGGTCACCGATGAATTGAACTATTGACCTGCCACGCCGCTGGAATTAGCCCCACCCAAAAGATTGTCATCGAACGCGGCACCCGGCCTCTCGCGTGAACCAATTTCCATGACGTCAGGGCGATCAACCTGCTGTGGAGCACTCCCTTGCCGAAGTGTGTCAGCTCCGCCATCGCAACTTGGAATGGTCGCCTTGTCGCTCGATAGTGGGTCCTTTCTAGCACCATGATCGTCAGCAACGCCACCAAAGCATGAGCGCGACGGAACATCTCGAGCACGAGGTGCGGGCAGTGGCAGGCGCACAGCCACCACTCGGTGTGCGCCTCCTTCTCAAGTGAGATGACAGGGTAGTGCGCTGCAGGCCGACCAAAACAGATTGGAGCGTGCTTCTTATGGAAGCTGCATGCGGCAACGTTATGCTGAACGCTGGCGGGGCCAGCCCCTCCAGCAGCGGGCGGCCCCAGGAGGCGGCGGGCGAGGCGCAGTAGGGAGCTGGGAGAGGGAGGAGCACCAGCATCAAGAGAACGCCAACATGGATGAGCGACGCGTGGCTCAGCAATGGGTGCCACCTCCTTACAGATCGGCGCGCTCCGTCGCCACATGAGGCGGCACTGTCGCCACGCTTGTGGGCACCGCCCCCGGTCCGTGCTAGCGTGCGCCCGACAGCAGGTGCTTCGAGGTGCGAGGTGGGCAGGATGCGCTTGGCCCGTGGAGAGCTCCTCCGCGTTTCGCCGGGGCTCCCTCAGGAGAAAAAAAAACGCACAGACACAATGAATCGTCGATTCCTTAGAAAATTTGGGAAAATATGGGAGGTGGGGGGGAAGACAAAAACCCAGAACATGTAGGCAAATATGGGGAATCATTTTATTTGTGTGTATTTATATTTGTGTGTCCCAGGGCCCCTTCACTCTCCCGGGGCCGTTTTGGGAGGCAGTGCCCCCCGGCGCGCCCAGCGGCGGCCTGGCTGTTCTGTCGGGGGCCGCCAGGGCGTGCCTTGGATGCACCGTCGCATCGCTCGGACGTGAGCATTTTTTTCTCGGCGAGAACCATCGAGGACCATCCTGGACCATCGCGCAAAACAAAAACACGCACGAAACCGAAAAAGAACACGGGAAATGGACGTCCGAGCGATGGCCAGAAGTGGAGCGCCTGGCCAGCCGGACACGGACAGCAGCAACCGTAGGCGGCACAGGAGCTGGAGTCAAGTCGGGCCTGTCCCTCTCCAGGGGACAGTTTCAAGAATAGCCAACAAGTCGCCTGGGGACTTTTTTTTTTTGTATGTTTGGGCATCTTGTGAAAGTTTGAGTATTTTTTTATTTTTCGTCCAAAATTACCCTGTAGGGGGACAGCCCAACCTAAAGCTGGAGCTGGAGCAGGACCCAAGACGCGACGGCCCACGCCAGCCCACGGCGGGGTCGCGTGGCATCGACGCGGCGGCGACTCCTT